AAAGAAAGGCAATGGTATGAAGTTATGGTGGTTAAATACACAAATCTGACATATATATATATATATATATATATATATATATATATATATATATATAATAAGAACACATTTTCATAACAACATAGATCCGGGATTCACACTCCCTCTAGGCTTTGTAACGAGTTTTACTCTCTTTCACAATTTTTGAAAGCAAGAATTAAGGCAAAACATGAAATCGACATGGTGATAGTAAAATTGAAGAAATTAGGGTTTTTTTATTTTATTATATAGTTTTGATAATATTTTGTGTAAATCTTTGTGATCTATCAGATAGAATTCCAAGCCTACAAAGTCCTTAGAAAGTGAAAGTGGTAGACTTACAAGATCTCCAAATTACAGTTTTTTTGAAAGATGGAATCTTGGTTTATATCTAAAAGACAGGGTGTTCAAAGACTGATTTATTATTATTTTTTTTGTTAAAAGTCATGGCCAATCCACCTGAGGGTGATTATTTTGGGACTATTTCTCAGGTGTTCTATCATTTTTCTAGTTAAATATCCATGAAATAAATGAGTTGGGTCCTCACTAAAGAGATAATTGATTATCTTAATTTGTTTGGTTGAGTTTTTTGGTCACATTTGATTATGTCTAATGAATAATTTCTCGTATTAAAATATAAATTTAGTTTTTTTTTTTTTTAATTCACTTTATTTCAATTTTTTTATAGATCTTTTTTTCGGAAAGTAATTTTTTTTTTTAGATCGGTGCCGATATACTTTGAGAAGCAAAGTCAGTCTGTGCCCAATTATAAAAAATAGTTTTTATTTTTATTTTTATTTTATTTGTACATTTAAAAGAAAAAATCCTTATAATGCCCACCTTGAAATTTTAAAATATAAAATTATCTCTTAATTTTTTTCTCTTTTATTCTTAAAATTTCTTTGATTTACTTAAAAAAAAAGTTAAAATTTTCTTCTTCAATTAAACTCTAATTTTTTTACTTTTAGATTCTCAATTTTCTTTCATTTTCCTCCTCCGTTTTTTTTTTTTTTCCCTCTCTACTTCTTAAAAATATGTACTGATTTTTTTCCTTCCCTTCTTATTTAAATGTATTACTATAATTTATGAAGTCAGAAAAAAAAAAAAAAAAAAAAAGAGGGTGAATTGTTAACAAATGATTTTTAAAAGAAAAAAAATGCGTGCGAAATAGTGAAATTAATAAAAGAAAATCTAAGCAAATTTCTCAGGGTTTGTCTATATAGATATACAAATTGTCAAATTGTAAGTCCATAGATTCAACTCTGATCGCCATCACTGCTTTGCTTTGCTTTCTGGTACTATATTTGCTCCGTTTAACTTCATTTCCTTAACAAATCTGTATCTAATATCTACATAAAATCGAATGCTGTGCTATGTACGTATATGTGTTTCTTTTGTCAGATCATTGAATTGTGAACAAATCTTTGATTTTTTGAACCTTAACATGTAGTAGAAACAATTATTGGGCAGTCTCTTTTCTGGTTCTGATTGGGATCGATCAAGAACTAGGGTTTTTGCAATTTGACGATTTATAGTGTTTAATGATATGGGTTTATGCAAATTCTGTAGATTAATTCCTAAAATTGTATTGAATTGATTTAACTTTTACTGGACACTAGGATTTAGTGTCTGTTTAACTTACTGATCAACAATGAGATTTGTAGGAGAAATGTATGTCTGCTCCTAGATTGAGTACCATGAACAATGGTGTTACTGTGATTCAAAAATTGCTTGTTCATCTACATGGGACAATAATGATGGCCACAATGGTCATCTTTTGTGTTTTTTTTTTAGGGTGGGAGAGTTTGCACTTTACAAATTGCTGACACTTGATCAAGTCACAAGAAAACAACAAATGGTAAGAGTCACATAGGATTTATCTAATTAAATCCAAGCTAAGGTAACGGGAGAGAAAGGCCCAAAGGCAGGTTGTAGTGAGCATCTCCGTGGTGGGTGGTGGTTACCCTGAGGGGGAATCACCTAAATTACAGCCATTATCTTTTTCTATTTTCTCGTAGTATTAGTATTCGTGCTTCATGGTAGGACTAGTAGTTGTATTCATAGTCTGGTTATGTAAAATCACAGCTATTATAGTAGCACAAGTAGTTGCATTCATAGTCTGGTTATGTAAAATCACTGCCATTATATGTGCCTGTGTTTTAAATGGCTGAGGCCTTGAGGCAATCTCTTGTGCAAAAGTTTTGGTACTTTGGTACAAAGAATCCATGTGTCAAAACTGCAGAATTTGCATACTGAATTATATACAGCTTGCTTTATGAAAGCACATTAACCCATTTTTTTCTTGTGCAGGCCGCTGGGATTGATAATGATTATAATTTTGGGGGTAAGCAATCAGAGAATGGGAATGGTAATTCAGTATATGATAGCCAAACATCCTCTGGAAGTTTGGTTTCTAATGCCTCTGGTGGCCTAGTTACTGGTATGATGGATGAAAACATGATCGGAGCTGGTAACAGAAAGGATGCTACCCAATATGATTTGCATTTAATGACCGAGCCATATGGCGTTCCCTGTATGGTGGAGATATTTCACTTCTTTTGTTAATTGTTGACTCTTGTTGAGGATACGGGAGCCACTGCCATTCCCAAACCAAATCCTATAGCGTTTGATGAAAATGTGCCTCTTTTTTCCTTGAGCTTGATCAATTCAGCTATAGAATTGGGTGGTTCCTCTATTTGCCGACATCCTAGATTGTCGAGTATGGTACAGGATGAACTATTCTGTAGTCTGATGCAATTTGGCTTGTCTGTGAGTCCACCTATTCTTTCAATGGTCTGTAGCATCATTCTGAATCTTTATCATCATTTGTGCACTGAACTTAAACTACAGCTTGAGGCTTTCTTTTCCTGTGTGATTTTGAGGCTTGCACAGAGTCGATATGGGGCTTCTTATCAGCAGCAGGAGGTCGCAATGGAGGCTCTTGTTGACTTTTGCCGGCAGAAAACTTTTATGGTGGAGATGTATGCCAACTTAGATTGCGACATAACTTGCAGTAATGTGTTTGAAGACCTTGCTAATTTGTTGTCCAAAAGTGCATTTCCAGAGAACTGTCCTGCTTTGGATGGTCTGATTGCAGTAGTTCAGGGAATGGCTGAGAGGATAGGCAATGGATCAGTCAGCTTGGAACTGTCTCCTGTAAATCTTGAGGAGTATATCCCATTCTGGATGGTGAAGTGTGACAACTATAGTGATCCTGATCATTGGGTTCCATTTGTCTGCCGGAGGAAATACATCAAAAGAAGGTTGATGATTGGAGCTGGTCACTTTAATCGGGACCCCAAAAAAGAGCTGGAGTTTCTCCAAGGAACGCATCTATTGCCTGACAAACTTGATCCCCAAAGTGTGGCTTGCTATTTCAGGTACACTGCTGGGTTAGATAATTGACTTCCAAGACATGAACCTGGATACTGCATTGCGGCTGTTTTTGGAAACTTTCCGACTGCCTGGTGAATCACAAAAGATACAGAGGGTTCTTGAGGCCTTTTCGGAGAGATATTACGAGCAATCACCTCACATTCTTGTTAAGAAGGATGCTGCTTTATTATTGTCCTACTCATTAATAATGCTCAACACAGATCAGCACAGTGTACAGGTGAAGAAAAAGATGACACAGGAGGATTTCATCCGGAATAATCGGCACATCAACGGTGGCAATGATCTCCCTAGAGACTTTCTGTCAGAGTTGTACCACTCAATTTGCAAGAATGAGATCCGCACAACCCCTGAACAGGGTGCCGGTTTCCCGGAAATGACCCCAAGCTGTTGGATTGATCTAATTCACAAATCCAAGAAGACTGCTCCATTCATTGTATCCAATTCCTGAACCTACCTTGACCACGATATGTTTGCTATAATGTCAGGTCCGACAATTGCTGCTATCTCTGTGTGGTATTTGATCATGCAGAACATGAAGATGTATACCAAACTTGTATCGATGGATTCTTGGCTGTTGCTATGATTTCGGCATGCCATCATCTTGAAGATGTTTTGGATGATCTGGTGGTGTCTCTCTGTAAGTTCACAACCCTCTTAAACCCATCATCTATCGAGGAACCTGTTCTAGCCTTCGGTGATGACATAAAAGGCAGGATGACAACTCACATCAGATCCTAAATGGGGTGGCGAACTATCACATCCTTACGTTCCATTACAGCTCGACACTTTGAAGCTTCTGAAGCAGGATTCGATGCACTATTATTCATCATGTCTGATGGAGCACACTTGTTGCCCGCCAATTTTGTTCTCTGCCCAGATGCAGCTAGGCAGTATGCCGAGTCTCGCGTCGGACAGGCTGACCGGTCTGTTCGTGCACTGAATCTTATGGCCGGTTCTGCTTCTTGTTTAGCACGATGGGCCCAAGAAAAAAGGGAATCGTTGGGGTCTCAGGATATAGGGGAGATGTGGCTGAAGCTTGTGCAGGGTATGTATGAGAAAAGTTTGTTTGCTCCTAATGAAACTGCAACTCCAGAAGCTTGTACAGGAGGCTAACAGTTTGTACAATGTTCTTTGCTTTGAATTGCTTCTGTTAATGCATGTTCTTTACATGGTATGATAGTGAACAGTGGTGTGATTTTAGGTGGCAGTTTCTGTTTGTACTACTACATATAAGAGCCTTTTGATTTATATAAACAGTAAATTTATTGTGTGTTCACTTTCAATTTTTGGCCTTCTTGCTGTCTTTGTGATTTCTAGAATCTATTTAAATATGTGCTTACAGTGGTGTTCTTTTAGGTTCACGAGGCTAGCGTTGTGAAAGTTGTTTGGGATGTGGTTCGTCACACATTCAAATGGAATTTTGTCATTGTGGGAGGAGGTTCTTGAAGGTATTTATTGAGTTTGCCATATTGTTTTACTCATTTTTGAAGTTATCATTTCCAAGTAGTATTTAGTAGTCTAAAATTCTGAACCATAGTGATTTTGGATCAATTCTGTTTTGGATGCTAAAACAATGTTTTCTGAAGTTGGCTTAATTGCAAAAAAGAAAACCCTGGACGGTAAAATCTTTGCATATCACCCCCTGTACATTTTACGTATCTCCCCCGTGTACTATTGACCAATTTTCACTTGACACCCCTGTCAATTTGTCATTACGGACTAGCCATTAGACAGAAAACTTGACTATCACTTGCTGTCCTCTTTTTTTGAAAACCTGGGAATGTCCCTAACGACTCTCCCCATTCTTATAAACCCAAAAACCCTAACATGTGACCTTATTCTCTCTCTCTCTCTCTCTCTCTCTCTCTATGTTCCTTCCTTTCTGTTTATGCATCTATCACCGCATCTTTTGGTATTTAACTGGGCATATGTTGGGTATTATAGAACGATATAAGAAGCTTCACACTGTTTATCTCGATTACGCCATCTCATTTACAAGCTTCAATCTCTTGAATGATCTAACAACTTCCACTTCTATTAGGCTTCGAAGGGCACAAACATCCTGATAAATAGAGAACACATAACGATTTACTCAGGATACTAAACGAGCCTATAATCTATATAACTGTTAACAATACCTGGTCGTCTTTGACGCTGGGAATCCAACTGTTTGTTGCAGGATTGGTTCTGAGCACCATCTTTCACTGTCCTCCATTTTCATAGCCTCTCTGCAGTTGTAAATCATAATCATCTTCACTTCCTTGACTCACCACCTTTATAAACCCATTTCCTATCTGCCCAAATACGAGAAACCAGCTTTTGACATCTCTCTCATGCATGCGCACACAAAATTGTAAAAAGAGAAGGAGAAGACTTTAAATACCGTATGGTGCTGTTTACTGTTGTAATACTGGTTTCCACAAACTTGTATTTGGCCTATTGGCACCTGAAAATATGGCCCGGAAAAACATCATATATACATAAAGGATAGTATTAGAGAGTAAAAACAACATATTGACATCTGGAAAAATATAAAAGTGAAAAGTGCTGTGACGAACATGGGATTGAGTTCATAGAGATTGAAACTTGTTGAACTCAACGAGTGTGAGGGAGATAGAGTGAGAAGCAGATTTATGAGCTAAAGGTTCTGCCAAGAAGACGTCGTATGAGATAGTATATTTCTTTATTATTTATTAGGGATCATTAATGTAATCTTACTATGCACTTAAAAGTTTTTTATCGTTTGGAGGGTAAATTTTATTCCAGTGGGGCAACTTGCAAAACTTGGTGGAAACAAACTTTATTACTCCTGAAACTGTTGTAACATAAAATTTGCAGCGACATAATTAAAGACCCAAAACTAGAATAACAAGCATTAGAAGGCAAAGGGAGTCGTACATAGACAGCATAACAAGTTACAAATAAGTTGCTAGAACAAAGATTGAAGGACAAACAAAGCAAAGACCAGAATATGCTCTAAATCAATTTTGTGTTGCAATAGAAGCTGGGATTGAGTTAGTAGTACTGAATGGGAAGGGACTTGGGGGGACCTTAACTTCAACAACTCCTTTAAGCATCTGAGTTACCTTCCTCATTGTGGGTCTTAAAGACAGGTCTTCTTGAATACACCAAATGGAAACCATTACAAACCTCTCTAGCTTCATCCTATCATTCATGGCCTCCATGGCTCCATGTCACCTTCAACCAGTGCATCCATTGTTCCTTCTTGAAGTATACAAACAAGTCGATATAAACCCGTGAATAGATGTGTGTGTATATATTATATACACGGCATATAAATTAATAAAAAAGAGATCTTGACAAGATACAAATTACCCAACAGGGACGAGACGGTTTTTGACGTCCTTCTCTTCAAACAGATCTTTCAGTTCTTAATTGGCAGCTCCCATCTTACCTCACTTTCCGATCAAACCCAACTGACAGCTCCCCTGCCACCATCGGCTGCCTCTTCCCCGCACAACCAGCTGACATCGCCCAAGTCAAAAACATCTCCGACGTCATCGTTGAGAGAGTGAAATAGAGAGAGATCTAACTGAGAGAGAAAGTGAAATCAAGAGAGCTGAAATCGGAGAGAGAGACCCAGAAATTGAAGGACATCGTTTAGGACTCTTTAGTTTTGTCATTTCATTCCTCAATTAACGGCAAATTGAAGGATTGTCCTTATATGCTCAATTTGGAAAATGTAAGGGAATTTTTGGGATTATGCGGCATAAGTTTGAAAAAGTATTTTATCATTTCCCCTGGTTGTTATGTTAGGATAATGTTTTTTGATAATTTAGTATTGAAAGGGGTAACCTAGTAGGAAGCCAGGGTCGAGATGCTTGGAGGGCTGGACCCCTTTGTATTTGGTGGGAGCTTTGGCATGAAAAAAATGTCTCTTGAAGTTTTGAGGGAGTTGAAGCTCTGGCATGGGTGATAAAACACCATATTCTGAGCTATCTTTTTTTGGGTTTCAGGGAGGGCTTATAAATCTGTGGAGGAATTTCTTGGTTTTTTGGATAGCCTGAGATTTTTTTTTTTTTTTCATTGGCAAGAAACACAACTCACACACCCACTCATTTATGCTTTTTTGCCCACACCCGGACTCGAACCCCTTCCCTTCTCTTTGAGGATGGGAGGTTATACCATTGGGCTAGATGCCCTTTGGTTAGCCTGAGATTGTAGAGATGCAGATAATAGTTAATATTCTCCCCTTTGTGCAGTTGTTCTTGGATTCACTTCCCTCTGAGTGCTGCTTAATGAAATCTTACCACCATCAGGTCAAATCACCATCTCCTTCACAATCCATCATTAACCTTTTTCTAATTCACATCACTATCTCTATTCTGCCCCCTTTTTCCCAGAAAATCCATACTCACTCAAATATCACATTTCTTATTTCCTGTGGTGCCATCAACAACAAATATTCAGAAGTTAAAACTTAATTTGGACTGAGCATTAGGCAAAATTTTGAACTTCTGATTGGTGTGCTGGAGGCGGTGCAAGAGCGTGGAGAGAGAGATTTGATGAAAAGAAATTGGTGCCTGTAAGAATGGAAAAAAAAGAGGAGGAAGCACAAGTGTGAACTCGATGGGAAATTTCTCCCGCTACCCTTTGAAATCCACCAAAGGGATGAGAGTAAAGATTTTTGACAAACATGGATGATAGATGAGATTGACACTCAATCCTGTATTTCTTTCTATTGTCAAAAGATGAATCTTGCAAAAAGTTACCGATGGGAGTAATATTTAACTTGTCAAAACTGAGATATACCCCTTAAGAAGGCAAGAGTAGTAAAACAAAGCCCTCTCTAATCTAGACAAGGTGTAGCATAAGGGAAGATGAAAAGAACATGAGCTGAAATAGATGAAATCGTTGTATCAAAGACCAATATATCTATTTAAACATGCAATTAGTCCTGTTCTCTTGTGTAAAATTGCTCCTTGCAGGTTAAACCAATAGTTTATTTTTGTTGAATGTGATCAGTCAACTACTAATTCCAAAATATTATATTAGGATGCTCGTTGAGGTACAGAAGTCCATATGGTAAACTATATTTGTTTATGTAATGTCTTTATCTGCATAACATTGTTCTAAGTGCAACTTGTGACTTATAAGCTGATGCATAGGTTATTATTATTATTATTATTATTATTATTATTATTATTATTATTTTGGTGGGTGGGTGTGTGTGTGTGTGTGTTATGGATAATTAAGCTGATGCATAATTTTCTAATACCTATAACCCCTTTGAAATTCCAAACTGGTGTCACGCTATGCATGTTTGATATTTTCTGTGAAGTGCTTGATATATGATTTTCTGTGAAGTGCACAAAATGATTCATGCCTTTTGTGTTCTACCAGCAATATGTATTGATCATATTGCCTTTTCAAATCAAACTTCCACAGGTCTTAGTTTTGTCCCAGATGCTGGATATTCAAGGTTCGACCAAGGAGCTTCACACCACGTTCATGTGCCTATTAGTCACCGCAAGATTCCTTTGGTATTGCTTGCAGATACAATTGTAGGGTTTTGGCAGTCTAGAGTATATACTTCCTGTATGTTTCCTTGCTTGTGGAGTTGGTGTAAACTAGAGTTACATCTGGTAGATCAATGAGGCCGACTTAAACAAAGCACGTATTATGAATCACTTGAATTTCCAGAAAATTTGATATAGTCACGCGAACCATTTATGTATATATGTAAGCTATGCCAGTGGTATCAAGTTTATCATCTGCTTCTTTGTTGCCTATTTCTGTTTTGTTCATATCCACCGTACGGTTGGAAGCTTTGGCAATGGCTCTTATAGGAGTTTATAGAAACTTTCTTCAAATGTTCTTCCACACAGGCTACCCATTCAGACATGTCTCGTAAATGCAAGTTGGGCAGAAACCACCTTTTTGCAGTCTTGGGGGGCTTTGTAAATGATAACAATGCATTCTGGCTGGTAAGAAAATAGAATGGTCGACTCCATTTTCTGGCTGGTAAGTGGTTGCCTTTTAAACCCGAAATGAGTAGATATTGCTGTTATTTTGTGTAAATCATAATGAGGAACTGCAAAATGAGGCACAGGTTCTAAAGGGGTAAGTGGTTAGAGGGGACAAGGGAGGGTACAAGGCTCAAACTCGGACTCTCGGATATGGGAAACAACTCAACTACTTGGGTAACATGGCTCGGACTCCCGGATATGGGAAACAACTCAACCACTTGGGTTAGAAGGTGCTTGCAGGGTGGTATGATATGTAACGACCCGAACCCGAGGGTCTGAATCGCTAATCGGGTCCTTATCCGAACCCGAGGTCAACTAAGGGCACTACCGTCCTTTTTTATGTCAATACATAATAATGATAATGATACTAGTAATAATAATAATAATATGAGGTCATAGCTACAAAATAGGTCAAACAATCTACTAACCCATCAAGACCTGTAGAGGAACGCCGTCCGCCATTTCCTTCCCGTGACCTGAAAAATGTTAAAATAATGGGGTGAGCTAAACACTCAGTAGGAAGTGTCTAAGACACACCTCTTATGACCCCATGAATCCACATAGAGAATAGAAAGCAAGAGAACGGGCTCATATTTCGGGAGTCAAGTAAAACCACTGTATCATCAACAAACATACATATCTCAACCAATTACCAAATGCACCACGTATACCAATGATGTGCCATGCCATGCAATGTTACTTCCCATTTCCGAAACCATACCGTTTCAACTTCCAAACCGTTAGTGTAATCCGACCCAAGACACCTCCAAGGCGTCACGAAAGGGGGATTGGCTAACCATCCACGACCACAAGGCACCTCCAAGGCGTCGCATCCGGCCTGGTTAGCTCAACCACACTAGGGTCTCTCCCTAGTCCCCCCTCTAGACCACACTAACACCACGGACCACTAGGCGCCTCCTAGGCGTCCGGGTTTTCACAGACACTTTTCAAAAACTTTTCCCCAAAACAATTACATTGGTTTTTTTTTTTTTTTAATATACTTTTCCCCTTTTTCTTTCCCAATGGATGTATAAATGCTTCATGATTCCAAATGCCAAATTCAACAACAATATTCCATACATTTTACCCATATCATAATCACAACTTGTAAAAGAATATTTTAAATATTTATTTCTACGATTATGACATCAATTTTCCATGGCAATTGAAATACATAAAGTAAACAATTTGTCATTTCTATGCATGCTTCTTCACTATAAGGATGTAATTAAATTTACAAACTCATTTATCACATAGCATACGTCCACCACTTTACATATAATCAACAATAATCACATAGCCAAAATAATTGAAATTAAACATACTTATAGTCAATTTAAAAGGGAAAAATTCACATAGAACCTAAGAAATTGTGAATTAGAGCACCCCTACCTCAAAAGTAGCCAAAATACATCCCCGCCCGAAAAAGTCAACGCCGGTCAACGCGGTCAACCGCAGGTCAACAAAAGTCAACGCCGGTCAACGGCGGCGGAACGGAAAACTGTTTGGTGAAAACGTAGCCGTCGACGAGGAGATTCTACTGTTCCAAAGGGTCAGCACCGGCATCCGACTCTAAGTGGCCCAAAACCCCATCCGAAGCCTTAGATCCAAAATGTTCAAAAATTCATAAAATAATCACCGATCCTCTGAAAAATAAACTCTTTGACTATGTGATAGAGAACGATGAGAGGAACGTTTTTCGTCAAGGAACCTAGACCGGAAACCCGACCGATTAGCCGGAAAATGGAAGAGAAAATCAAAGCCTCAAGAAAAATGAAAAATGAAAAGGAAATGAGAGGAGATAAGAGAGAGATGGCCGGGAGAGTGAGAGAGAATGAGACCCATGTGGTCTCTTGGCGTCACCATTAAAGTAGATGGTGGGCTCCACTTAAAAATATATATATATATATATATATATATATATATATATATTTTTTTTCTCTTTTCTTTTCTTCTTAATTTCTACCGCCAATAAATATATATATATGCTCCAATTATATCATAGCCACACACTTTAGCACTTAAATAATTTACTTAGGTACAAAAATAATAATGCATGGTATGCAAATGACCTGAGACACAACTCCCGTATACAACAACTCTGGTAACGGTTTCACCCAAGACTGTCCGGTCTGGAAAACTGAAAAATGCTGAAATGATAACACTTACATTTCAAAGAGTCCTGAACTCCATGAAATGCCCCAACCAACTCTCGGACACAACCGGCACACTCTACGGTGTCTAGTACGCAAAACGAGAAAAGACGAAAATGCCGCTAAAAAATCAGAAAATTCCCAAAAATAGAAAATAGTTAAAAACAGAAACATCATAACCTACCCTCCTTAAAAGATTTCGTCCTCGAAATCTACCCTCCTTAAAGAAGGAGGCTCACAACCACACATAACCCCGAGAAAACCTCACAAAACCTCAAGACCATGAACCCACTAACATTGTTGCCTTTGTCGCCGGACGTCACTAGGCAATCACATACTACTGCCACTAAAGCCCAATACAGGTACTCATCTCTCATGTTCCTCATAACACAAGATCAGCTAGATTTTACACCTGACTCAAGACGAGCATCGGCCTATTCCACACAGCCACGAAAGGCTCCAAAGTCCCAAAAGAAAAACTGTCACAAGACCCCGGAACATGACAACATCCTAACTCAACTCATCATTTAAAGGACACACAAAATCCCAGACAAGGAACCCTATCCCTCTCACAATCAAGCTCAAATTCAAATCTACATGTCCTTGTCAAACCAATACTCGTCATCTAACACACATCTACATCATCACATAATCTTACCAACGACTGCTACCCACACTATACGACAATCATTACGCCTGTAACCTCAAGATTGCTAAACAATGAATCCCCAACGGCTGCATAAACATTAGTTACCAAAATAGAAAAGCGCACTATCCCCGTACTTAGGACACAATCCTCAAAACAGATCCTCGATAATCAAACGGATTGGACACTTGGTCCCACTTAACATACCTTGTCGCCTGAGATAAATCACTTAAATCCACACTATCACGTCGACACATCCCGCAATATCCTGCTTTCACTATTCGTGACAATTCAAAGCAATCATTGACCTTTGACCCGATATCGTGCTAAAGAGGGATTGATTCAGGAGAAATGGTTGGCCAGGCCATCCTCATCCTCGATCCAATCTCAGCACAGACGTCGTTCTTGTCCTCAGGTCCACACCTTAAATACACTTTCACACTTTTCACAAAACAACAATGAGATCCACTCACCATTAATCCATCACTCTACGTAACCTCAACAACTATACAGTCATATACCCACTCTAAAAATCCCAATCATACATTAATGACACAACTCTTAACAAGCTGGAAACAACACGGCACCAAACATCACAATCATCAACCAGCATAAAAAGATCTCTAATCCCCTCATAACACCCATACTAGGTAAATAACTCCATGTCATTATTTGGTTCAATTCTCACCTCTTCAAAACACACAATATGACTGTCTCATACTTGAAATCTCAAAACCAAAGTCAATTATTCCTATTATTCCTCAATAAAATCACACATTTGCTTTCTCTATCACAAAATTCAAAGGCAACATCGACACTTATCCTCAAGACACTGCTCGAATCAAACGTCTATCAAAATATCTGAGTACATGACTCACATCTCATCACTTAATCATCCTCAAACTCCCGGTTCACAACGCATCCCCTAGCCATCACTGCTAGTACTAGACTCCAGAAACTTACAATCTCTATTCGGCAACTCGTGCCGTCAAAACCTCTCTGAAAATGAGCACTACTAAAACCGATGACTTTATCTCTCTCCGTGAGAGTGAGTCAACCAAATCAACCAAATCTTTACTGATGAACTCAACAACATAACAAATCACACACAGGTCCGTTCACCCACGAACGCGCACAACTCCTAAATGGAAAACAAGACTCACAACAAACGACGTCCTTGCCAGGACTAGAACAAATGGAAAGGGTAACAAACCCCGCTCTCACAAGAGACTGACGACTCGCACCTGAATGCACCCACACCTTGTCACATGCTACACACCAACTGTCCAACCATGGACACCCAATCTCACCTGAGATGAACTAGACTCCTTACATATAAAGATAAAAACCAAATGGATACCCATACGGAACTACGAACTCAATTCTAGGCGAACTCGCCACTAACGGACCGTCACACATTATCAACACAGAGACCTCGCATACAATACACCGTGATACCCCTGCTAACCAAAACCAATCAGGTAAGAGCACCAACGCTCATGACACACAACACTAAAAATAATCACAGCCCTTCGGACACCGTATCCCGTTCTACCTAGAATCAGTCACTCCTAACCGACAACCTCTATGCCATAAAATGACATTTTACCATTCATTTCATCTCTACTTACCCAGGCAACATTACCTCGATCACCGTGCGCACAAGATCACTGACTCTTTAAAAGAAAAAGATGCCTATATGGCAACACCTATTTCTCTGGTTCTAAAGACTAAACTGACCACAATTGCCTCAATTGGTGCACAATCCCATCATTTACCTGACAACATACAACAACACTTACAATCCTAAATCACATTCGGATCATACCTCAAATTGTTCCGCTCCTCATTACTAAACATCACACCATAACACCTTCACTGCCACTCATTCAAATCGACAATTCAAACCTATTATCCCACCAGACTATCAAGCCACTACTAAGCAATTCATCCTTCAACCTCCTTAAGACCATCACAATAAGAAAATAAGCACCACTCTCGATACTCCCCCACAACGATCACTGCATACCACTAGAAAAGAACCTTAATACGACAATACCATATCGATAAATCCTCAAAACAAAAATGAGCATAAAGCCCAGAATGCTCAACACCCAACTATCACCTCAATACCATCAGCGATGCAATCAATCACAAACGTTTATCTGGCTACTCAAACCACTCATCTTAAGGCAATCAACATGCCTAAATAAGAAACTTCATACCCTAGGTTCAACACCATTACCTCCCCTCTTCACCGTTCTTCAGAACATCCTTGGCCCCGATAAAAGGTCAAATGGGGCTAACAACTAAACCCACAAAATCAACCTCATCCCAATCATTCTAATCATCAATCTACCTTTTCGAATCCTCAAACACCAAGCACAATCTCCTGATACCTCAAACATAACATAAAATCCAACTCCAGTCCACAGCTTTCAAATCCTAGAACACAGTCTATTTGGTAACATCGTACCTACCATCAATCACTTCATCCGTAAACTACCGAGCACTTCAATGACCTCATACAACCTGCCTTATGGTGCAACCCTGCACTACACGGCTAAAACTGACCACTATACACCACTTCGAGACTCTCTTGACAACCGAGACAACCAATAACCCTGCTCATCCACCGAGCCCTGCAATCAACTCACTGAGAATCAATTACCTACAACACACTCCTGTAGCTCTCCGAAATGGGAATCACTCCTCAACAAACCAGTTTCTAAAACAGACTTTTACATTCCACAAACTCAATCAAATCAAACGATCGATCACACAACACTGGCATGAC